CATTCTTAACCTGTTCTTAACCTGAAGCACCGCTTTAGCTAATGGGGCCTCCTGCTGCTGACGCACCGCCGGAGCACAATTTCTGTTCTCATCCTGAAGCAAAGTTCTTAACCTGAGGTACTATTTCTGGGTTAGTGGAGTCTGTAACCTGAAGCGTATGTAACCTGAAGCGTATGTAACCCGAGGTACCACTGTACATTCTAGTCGCAGCAACCTTAACTTAAACTTGCAATAACTTTTAATAAGTCTAAACCTTAACACTATATACAGAACACCACACCAGAAGGAAGAGAGATAGAAAGTGAAACCCAAGGCTCCTTCTGACCTTCCTTTTATAGTCAGCGGGACCTTGACAGAAAGAGATAAGAGAATCAGTTTAAACCAGCTGCACTCAGCTTCTCTGAAGGAATAACCCAAACATCCTGAACCTTTTGCTTCTTTCTTTCACACAGAGAAGCTTCCAGAACCCTCTTGAATTAAGTAGAATAGGAAAGATCTCTACACATCAGATCAATACTTTCTGTCAGTGCTGGGTTTACATATAAGTAACAAGCTATAGCTTAGGGTCCAACTCTCTTCGGGGACCCCCAAAAATTAAAACAACAACAATGTGGATGTACATTTCCAAAATATAAGATTAAAAAGAAATAAAATAAAACCTACATACAGCAACAGTGTTTTGTGGTTTGTAGGCTCCTATGATGCGTTTCAGTTCAACAATTACTTAGATAAAATAAATATTTTGTTATGTGCAAATGGCTTTAGATACCTATTAGGTCCATAAATTACTATATAGCATATATTCAACACAAAAAACAGTGACAATTTGTTGTTGACCAAGGACAGTTGGACATATAAAGGGCCTCAGTAGCTTAGGGCCTCATCAAACCTAAATCTGGCCCTGCTTTCTGCTCTAAGAAATGCAAACTGACAGTATATATGTAAACAAACCCCAATATTTCTAAAATGCCATAAGCTTCCATTGACCTCTCTTCCCAAAGAACTCCAACCTGCATGAACTCTGTGGCCCTGTAACTTGCCAGGAAAGCTGGAGAACACAGCCAAGCTGAGTCCGGCCATTGGCCCAGCAGCAGAGTGCTCTGATTTGCAGTGGCTCTTCAAGGTCTCAAGCCCATATCTTTCCCAGCCTCACAATCCCCCCAGCCCATGCTGGAGATGGAAACGGAGATTTGCGTGCAAAGCGTACACTCCAGCAATGACTTATGGCTATTTCCCATAAAGGAATGTGTGTGTACGGCACTAGCAACAACAGCTCTATCATGCAACTTTCACCCACCAGCGAATAAAGCAAAACTATTGTCTATCGCCAACCACAGAAGGAATGTTGGAGGGCGAATGGCAGAATCTGAATTAGGCTGGAGAGTAGAGGATGCCAATAGATAGATACTAGATAGATATAGATAGATGATAGATAGATAGATAGATAGATAGATAGATAGATAGATAGATAGATGATAGATAGATAGAGATAGATGATAGATAGATAGATAGATAGATAGATAGATAGATAGATAGATAGATGATATAGATGATAGATGATAGATGATAGATAGATAGATAGATAGATAGATAGATAGATAGATAGATAGATAGATGATAGATAGATATTTAAATGACTGGTTAGCTAAAGGAAAACCACACTTATATCAGACAACGAATAAATCTGTTTCTAAATGCCTAAAAAGAAGCATAAAATGTCCTAGTTTACTAAAAACCAAGAAAATGAAGTATGACCAGGAGCATTTCCCCCCCTTCTTCTTATTCTTTCTTTGTGGTGAAATGGAGCAGGATGCCCTTAGGTTTTCTCCACTATATATGCAGATGTGGGAAAGAAATGAGTTGCGAATCACGCAAGTTCAGGGACTGGTTAAATTAAAATGGTTACAGATAATTTGTTGATCTTCTTTACATAATATATATATATACATATACTAGAAGCATCACCCCAAATCTGATATTTTAACATAATATAATTCAATAAAATACTGTTTGAGTCTCAGAGAGATTCTATAGAAAGAAGTATATTGGAGAGAGTGTTGCTCATGGTGCAGTTTTAATTCTGAAGTATCTTGCTAAGAGGGTTTATTTAAATAAGGTCTCCCGGAGATGAACATTTCAGGGGTGGGGGGTGGAATTCTTACTGGGTGATTTATAGAAAAATTATATGAAGCGAATGAAGGACAGAAAATTTTTATTAGAAAAGGCTTCCATTTCCACAAAATATAAATTATACCTTTTTAGAGAATATATTGAGTTTTATTAATATTCTGTAGACAGCCTGCAGTGTTAATCTCCACCAATACCTATAAGATTTTCATTATTATGTACAAGGTGTATTTACCCTTTAACCAAATAGTTTTAGAAGACTTTGTGGCAACCTTGACTGCAGTTGATGGACTCCCGACAGCTTGCCTAATGACATTTCTCTTTGTATATTGCAATACAAAACAATTAATGTAACTTGCAAATGAGGTCCTTTGTGGAAAAGATCTGTACTATTTGAGCTAGAGCTAGGATGCCAAAGGTCCTGTGCCTGGACTTGGAGCACATCCTGCGTGCATGGGGTGTCCCGCTGCTCATACTTCCTCTCTGAAACTCCTCTTCTCGCATTGAATGCTACCCTCAAGAATACCTTGGTGGTTGTGTCTCTGTGTGCACACACATGCACACCTCCAAAGAGTTATAACTAGATGATGGACCTGAAAAGACTTGGGATCAACGCAGAAGTCTTCGCGGTCCCTCCTCATCATTTCACCTCTGGTATGTCCATGGTGCTTCTGAAAAGGAAGCCAGACTTATCTGAACCCTTGGGCACTAGAGCTCTGCCATTCAACAGTTGACAAGCTGGAATGTGGGCAGAGGAGGGCAACTGAGATGATCAAGGGTCTGGAAACCAAGCCTTATGAGGAATGGTTGAAGGAGCTGGGTATGTTTAGCCTGGGAAAGAGGAGACTGAGAGGAGATAGGATAGCTGTCTTCCAATATCACATGGAGGAGGGAGCAAGCTTGTTTTCTCCTGCTCTGGAGGGTAGGACCCGAACCAGTGGAATCAAGTTACAAGAAAGGAGATTCCGACTAAACATCAGGAAGAACTTTCTGACAGCAAGAGCTGTTCAACAGTGGAATGGACTCACTCGGAAGGTTGTGGACTCTCCTTCCTTGGAGGTTTTTCAACAGGGGTTGGGTGGACATCTGTCATGGATGCTTTAGTTGAGGCTTCTGCATTGCACAGGGTTGAGCTAGATGACCCATGGGGTCTCTTCCAACTTTACATTTCTTTGACTCTAATTAGGAAATCCCTTCAGCTTTGGGCAAAGAATGGCCACATACCCTACTTTAGGATATGAACCAATCTGCAGCTTTCAGTACTGCAAAAGGCAGTGCTTATGGAAAGTGGAGGCCACAAACTGCAGAGATGCACATTCCGCTGGGATCAACCACTGCCTGCCTACCTCCTAAAATTGAGCTTTGGCCTTTTTAAAATGAAAGTCAGACGGCACATGCACATCCACCAAATTTTGGCCTGGCTCAGGGTGTCATATGCCAAAGTCCCGCCCCCCCCTTTTAAATCAAAATAAAACAAAACTGGATTTTTGGGGGAGAATCCCTTTAAAATTCACCTCAGAAGGGGGACAGGCTGGACTTTAATGAGTTTCATCCATACCTAGTATTGAAAGTCTTTCAGCTGTTCAAAGTTTTCATCCCTGCCCCAGCAACTTAGGAAAACACCAGAACTGTTGAGCTTCTTTTGACTTCCCTGGGATTGAGGACAAAGCACCGCCTTTCAGAAATCTCCCCCACTCCACCCGGACATCAGTTCCACCCTAATTTGGGTGCCGCATGTATGACATTACATTTCAGTTGTATAAAGCTGCAATCCTATGTTTTATCAGGGAATCAGTCTCCTTGAACTCCGTAGGGCTTACTTCTGAGGAGATATGTACAGCATTGCATTGCAAGAGGTGGTATTTGCTAAGGCGTGTGTCTGTGGTTTATGAATGCTTGGAAACCTGTCTTGGGCCATGTTTAAAATAAATAAATACCCTTGCTTAAACTCATTACGCTGCCTTTTTCAAGAGCACTGCCTTTACATTCATTTAGTTCCTGAGGGGAGGGGGGACGACAGGAGGGAAGGTATAGGCCTCTAGGGGCTGCTGCTGTACAAATAATAAAGAATACTAATGACCACACAGTCATGGAAACCTCTAAGGCTACAGTTGTATGCCTCTTACTCAGGAGTAAGCTGCGTGGAACTCAATGAGACTTTCTTCTCTGAGACTGGATATAGTTGTGCAGATTCGTGTCCTGCAGTGCATTGTAAATTCTTCTGGATTTCAGAAAGGAAAGTTTATAAGCTCTTTCCCCCCCTCAACCATGTGAGAGTAGAAAGAGAGGGGAAAGGAGCGTGTAAGCCCAGAAGGAAGCTGGACTTGCTCATGTCTCACTAAATCAGCCTCTCCCTTTCTGGTGCCCTCAAGAAGTTAGACTGCAACTCCTGCCATTCTTGACAACTGGTCAGGGCTTCTAGGAATCACAGAGTCACAGAATTGTGTTTGTATATGTGGAGGAGAGGAGGGAGGGAGGTTCAGTTAATTTCACTGTACACAGGTTGTACATTGACAATAAAGGTATTATTTTTATTACAGTGGTACATACGCTTCAGGTTACATACACTTCAGGTTACAGACTCTGCTAACCCAGAAATAGTGCTTCAGGTTAAGAACGTTGCTTCAGGATGAGAACAGAAATTCTGCAGCGGCGGCACTGCGGCAGCAGGAGGCCCCATTAGCTAAAGTGATGCTTCAGGTTAAGAACAGTTTCAGGTTAAGTACGGACCTCCGGAACAAATTAAGTACTTAACCTGAGGTACCACTGTATTATTATTGAGATGGAAGGGATCCCGAGGATCATCTAATCCACTGCATCTAATATCGAGAATGATCTAATTCAGCGCCACTGCATGCAGGAATCCTGCCCACAGCTATCCCTGGGTGGGCTCGAACCACCAACCTTCTGGTGAACAGCCAGACCCATTGACCCACATGTGGAGAGCACCAGTTTCAGGACAGCAGCACTAAACTATCACAATGTCCAGGTGCAGTCAGTAACTCAAAAATTATGAGTTTGCTGAAGTAATGCGTAAACTAGGCTTTGAAAACAACAACAACACATGCACACACACACACACACACACACATACAGCTTGAAGTTAAAACATTCCAGAAAAAAAAGAAAAACCCAGATGCATTTACAGGTTTTAATACATATTATTCACATCCTGTTCCCTTATCCAATAACTGTGCAGTATTTTCCTAAGCTTAGATGTCTCAAAAACTAGTAATACCCCTCTTTATAAAGGAAAAGAAAGCTCTCAGTTCCGAGGTTTAGAAATCTGAACTGCTGCTTCCACTGGTCTGGACGTAGCTTGTGAGTTGCTGTGATTTATTTCTCTGTTGGCCCTTCTAGCCAAGTATCGCTCCATTTTCACACGCGCCCTCCTTCTGCCCCCTGTCTTCTATATTTTATTTCATGTGTCTATTGAGGCAATGAAAGATAAAGCTATCTGCTTTCTCTTGTAGTGAGGAACTGTATGGAATCAGTTCACCTGTCTGTCACTCCTCATTAAATTCTTACCCTCTTCATTCACATTCTGATCTTTGCAAATGAACATTTGCTTAATAAATGTTTCCAAGACTAACAGTGCAGAGGGAAGATCCCACACAGCAGTAAATTATTAACTCAGTCACAGGGGGAGCGCCATATATGACTTTTCAGAATGAGTTATTATGTGGATCATCATGTAATTATGAATTTTTCAAGCCATGATAGAGGAAAATTGAATATTTAATATTTTATGGACATATTCCGCACCGAGGATATCTTTCAAAATTTTATGATAATTTTGGAGTGAGCGAAAAGCAGAACAAAAGTTACAAAATAATTACAACACGGGAATATTTAATCACCATGGACAGCGATGGCCATTTCTCAAATTGTGCGGTGGAATCAAGGTTGTGAACTTTTAATCATGCGCTACTCAAATGGCTGGCTGGGATGAGAATTTTTTTTTAAAGTCTGTGTTGAATGTTTAAGTAATAGGACTTTTCATTGTTGTACCAGTGCCAGGGTGACAAGATTCATAGCCAGACAACAGTTTGTCAATCTTTCCTGTCTTATCATGGGAAAATTCCACTCGGGACACTGGAGTTTTTAGGAAATCTTAACTGGAAAAATCTGAACTGAAGAATGCGACCTGTTAAGGCAGGGTTAAGGAATGGCTGTGGTTTGGAGAGAATAGTCTTCCTCAGGCGGTTAGGGTTGCCATATTTTGAAGAGCAAAAAAGAGGAGACGTTTGCCGACTTCTACTTTTAACTAGGGATTGCTATGACGACTCTACCCATGAAAAAGGACGCGAGTGGCGCTGTGGTCTAAACCACTGAGTCTCTTGGGTTTGCCTATCAGAAGGTCAGCGGTTCGAATCTCCATGATGGAGTGAGCTCCCATTGCTCTGTCCCAGCTCCTGCTAAGCTAGCAGTTTGAAAGCACACCATTGCAAGTAGATAAATTGGGAAGCGGGAAGGTCAACGGCGTTTCCGTGCGCTCTGGTTTCCGTCGCAATGTTCTGTTGCACCAGAAGTGGTTTAGTCATGCTGGCCACATGACCCAGAAAACTGTCTGCGGACAAACGCCGGCTCGCTCGGCCTGAAAGCGAGATGAGCGCCGCAACACCATAGTCGCCATTGACTGGACTTAACCGTCCAGGGGTCCTTTACCTTAACCTCTACCCAAGACGGCGTGTCCTGGAAAAAGAGGACATATGGCAACCCTAAGAGGGCGGGCAATGTGGACAAGCCAGCTGATGGAAGACAATGGCCGCTTACCATCCTTGCTGGTGAGCAGCCGTTTTGGCCCATCATGGCACCTCCTTTCCTCATGGACACAATGCATTATATTTGCGTATATCCCCATCCCCCATGGCTGCTGCGGAGGCTCACGGGTCCCCACCCAGTCCTGTCCATTCAAACAGACCAATCCATGGCGGCCCCGGGCAGGTGGGGCATAGCTAGCAGACCTCCAGGAAGTGGTCTTCCCTCAGGTCTACCTGCCATCTATTTAACCCTATTGCCATGACGACTCTACCCATGAAAAAGAGGACGTATCCTGGAAAAAGAGGACGTATGTCAACGCTAATAGGATGAGCAATGTGGATAAACGAACTAATGGAAGACAATACAGTGGTACCTCGGGTTAAGTACTTAATTCATTCTGGAGGTCCGTTCTGAACTTGAAACTGTTCTTAACCTGAAGCACCACTTTAGCTAATGGGGCCTCCTGCTGCTGCCGCGCCGCCGGTGCACAATTTCTGTTCTCATCCTGAAGCAAAGTTCTTAACCTGAAGCACTATTTCTGGGTTAGCGGTGTCTGTAACATGAAGCGTATGTAACCTGAGGTACCACTGTAGTCTTAATATAAGAATTAGAGGTGTGTATATATATATATATATATATATATATATATATATATATATATATAAAATAATGTTTCAATGTTTCACTTTAATTGCAATTAACCTTTTAGGATGTATTAGGCTTGATTTTGGGGGGTTCTGCATTTGTGAGTCTCACCCCCTCCTGGGCTGCATTCCATCTCTCCTTATCTGCCCCTGAAAGTGGTCCAAATGGCAGGAAGTTTTAGCACTAGAGTGTAAATCAGCTATCCTTGAAGCTATCTGAGACCCAGGAAGAGGATTTTATGATGTTCTTCCCTCACTGAAGGCTAGGTTGCCAGGGTAACGCCGGACATCCGAGACCTAAAATGGTCAAATGGCCTAGGCACATCGGGACCACTCCAAGGTGATTGCAGGGGTGAAAATACCAGTATGGAGCCATGCACACTTCACTTCTCATGACCTGTGACCTTTTCCTGACGTATGTGAAGATGTTTTATGACTCTTCATTTGCTGTGTTTGAACTACAGTGGTACCTCGGGTTAAGAACTTAATTCGTTCTGGAGGTCCGTTCTTAACCTGAAATGGTTCTTAACCTGAGGTACCACTTTAACTAATAGGGCCTCCCACTGCCACCACGATTTCTGTTCTCATCCTGAAGCAAAGTTCTTAACCTGAGGTACTATTTCTGGGTTAGTGATGTCTGTAACCTGAAGCGTCTGTAACCTGAGGTATGACTGTACTATGACTCCTATGAGCTCAGAAACAGAGGCTACATGTAGCCCTCTTCCCTTGCTTTTCATGACTTCTTTCTCCCAAGTGTCTATAACCCGAGGTACCACTGTACTGTATAAGCTTTTGCTCTCAAGTGCCTTGGGGCAGACCTTCTCAACTGGCATGCTGAGTCGAGTGAGCTCTGTTCTACTGCAAGGGCTATCATAAACGTTGGGTCCCTAAATCTGGACGCCAGACTTAGAAATAGTTTCCTCAGTTCCGTGGTTTATTCAAAAGGTGGTTGTTCCTCACCTTAGGGACGAACAAGGCGGTGTGGAGGTGAATTCTTACCACAGTCTGAGCAGCAAGCCTTTTGCATCCATGGAGACTTCCCATGTGTTTCAGAACCCTGATTATGAATAGTTGCAAAAGATGCAGAGAGACTCCTTGGATCCAAAAGCTTCTCCTTTTTCAGACTGTTGCCTTCCCCCAGCTGCAAGAACGCAGAAACAGTGTCAGAACGAGCGAAGCTAGCATGCTCATCCACACTGCTCCCTCACCTGTCTACTTTAACACCTGCACAGGGCTGGTGTTGATGCAACAATAGGATTACCGGTGCACACAGGGCCTTTTAGATTTCACCACCTTATTTGCGGGCAGAGAAATTAAGGCGGAAAAAACCAGTTTTCTGGTTTTTCTCCAGTTTTCTCCAGTGAGAGGAGTCATCCGGAAGATTTGTAGGAGTAGGTCTCACCGCTAGCAGTAAAATAGCTTCTTTCTTTTTGCATAAAGTGTTTTGGGGTGGAATATTTTTTTTGCTGCAACCGCAAGTTATCATAGGAGCAGCCTGTCCATCATTTCCTGCCATCCACAATGCTCCAGAACTTAACATCGTTCTGGGACATTGGGATGTGGGGAGGAGGGATGGTGGCCAATGGCCAGCACATAAAAAGATGAAGAATATTCATAGAAATTCTACAAGGGTAGAGGGTAACAGAGACAATTAACACAACTGTTAAATTTGCAGAGGAAAATATCCTTTTTGATTATATACCCAATACATGGAACCCAACAAAGGGACAATATGAATGGACTCTCTGCACCCTTGCTATGGCAAAAAGAGAAGTATTGATGAACTGGAAAAATAAAAATGTGTCTCCCTTCAACAAAAGGATAGAGGATATGTGTACAAACTTGCAACACATGGACAAGTTGCTTACCAATGAAGACTTGCCATGGACAAATTTAAAGTTACTGGAATTCATTTTTATAAACTCTATATTAGGTTACGTTTAGGTTTAACTACAATAACAATCATGTAATGTTCGTAGTTTTTTTGTTTTTTACATGGCTGTTATTTTATTTTATTTTCACCTCTTATTTTACCATGTGCACTTACAATTTTTTACTTCTTACTTTGTGTGTGTGTTTGTGTGTATAGCCAATTTCTAGCGAGGTAAGGTGAATAATAAGGGGGGGTGAAAGTCTTGTGAGGAATATTATCACAGCTCTAATTTGCTGGTGATTATTGTTGGCTGGGGGAAAGCAAATTATCCTTTCTGCATTGCAATATATCCCACACATGCCTCCAGTCCTTTTTTTGCCTGTAAACAGTTGTGTCTTCAGCTTGATGCAAATCTGCTAATCAGCCAACTGTCGTGTCACTTACGTTGGCTTGCAAAAGGATGAGAGAGATTGATGGAGAACAGCGTAAGTGGCAACTCTGGTGTAAACTGGATTAAATGAAAAATTGCGATCAGTTCTGCCCTCACCTGTAAATTTGGCCAAAAGAAGCTGTGGGATATTGGGGGGAGGGGCGGTCAAGTATAGAGTTTATAGTGTTTAGGAGGGAGGAGGGTAAACCTTTGTTACATACTATTTTGCTAATGAATTCTACCCTCCCCCTAG